CATTGAGTTTTGGGGGAGTAATTATGAGGTATCAAGATGCTTGCAACACACGTGTTTATGAAGATCTAGCAACCTATGCATTATCCTGTTTGACCACCCCAGTGAGTAATGCAGTTGTTGATTGCATATTTTCCCATGTCACCTCTGTTAAAAACAAGGTCCACAATCATATGGGACTGCACATGTTAGAGGCCATTTTGAGAATCACAACACACCTTATGATGAGAAGTAACTGTTGCAAAGATTTTAAAGCAACGGATAGCATGTTGGCACTATTTAACATGAAAATGTATAATAGTAAAAATGATGCAGATGACGATCTTGATGCGCTCTTTGACTAACCAGTATGGAGCTAAGATGTTCAGCAAGAGACGTTCACAAGAAAAAAAGGATGAAAACGAATATTCAAAGCAACAACTGTTAAAAAGTCCTTATCAGGTGTATTCCGTTTCTTTCTTTACAGTTTGAGTATGTAAAGGTTATTCCTCCAGAGTTTGTTAAATATTAAAAAGTAAAAAAGAAATTGTCAATTGTTCTTGTATTCAATTTTACTGAGAGGTTGTTTGCAGTGTTGATATCGTGTCTAGTACTTCATTGCCCCTGTAGACAACAATGCAGTATCAAGGACGTAAACCAGGCCCCTTACAGTTTTCAGTTTTTAACTCTATGGCAGAATCTCACCAGTCACCATGCCAACAGCGACAACATTTACGAAAATTGTCAGTAAAGCTCATGTTATTTTGTGTGTTTGCTTTATTTCCATACAGTAATATGCAGATATCATACAGGTGATTTATATATTTTATACATTGAGTGAATTAAGGAATGTAGAAAAAATACACAGTTTCAATATCACGTTCAACATCTCATGATCATTGTCATCCTGGTCCCCTTGGGGTGCGGGAGAGAGCATAGATGCTGGTGGCTTGACCATCGCAAACTATCATGTTTACGCACCTGTCAATATTATGGAAAATATATCAGCCAACATCAAAGACAATACAGAACATCATACCAGCAAACGGGAAAAACAAATTTAGGGGTCAGAAAAAATGGGGGGCAATACCCCTGGGCACGTGCCTGATATTTAGATAATATGGGGGCCATAGTGTGTGCAGCCTTTCCAATTTACGAGTACACTGCAGCCCACTGGCTTAGTGATGCTTACCCAGAGTCTGGTTGATTATTTTGGCTTGACCACAATTTACTGGCCCTTTTTATTAGATAACTGATAACCAATATGTCAACTGTACAACGATTATTTTTATAACACTACTACTACTATTACTACTAGTCTACCACCACTGCTACCACCACTTCCACTACTAGTAAATTATTAGTATATAATTTTTTTTGTCTTATTGTTTTGTTTTTTTTCCTTTTTCAGATATAAAAGTATAAATTATAAACCATCTCTCCAAAATGTATTCTCACAAATCAGGAGCCCTGAAAAAAGAAAGAATGAGATTTGGATTAAGTGCAGCTTCAAAAGAATTTTCATTGAACTCACCAATAGAATTGGAGCAAGAAGAAGCTATTGGAAATCTCATCCTCAAACAAGGAATAGTTGACTTGGGTAATCATGCACAGGATTTTTATGAAGGGACAGATGCAAAAAATGAAAATGGAACACAGAAAGAAACAGACACACAGACATATGTGGAAGTGAATTTGGAAGACGAGAAGAGTAATCATAATGTAGGCCTTGACATTGGATGTATCATAACCGAGTTTCCATCTCAAAAGGAAATGGAAAAATATGTTACCAATGGTCATATCCCTCTGCCTAAAACATTCCCAAAAGACACCTACAATCAAGTTTTCCCAGAAAGCATACTGAAATTTCCAAGCACCAATGGAGAACTATATGGAGTCAACAGAAGCAAGCATTATATTGCTTTCCATGTCAATTATTTTGGCACAAGCTAGTCAAGACTAGCACTTCTGCATCTATGTCTGCACTGGTATCTGCTGAAGGCTGGGAAGCTAATGGGAATGGCAGAAACTTTCCTACAGGATCCCAAAACATGAAAAAGGCAATAGTCAAAAAGAATGTTACCTAGCTTGGCGAGAACTAGAAAGGAGCCTGCTGCCTGAGACAGAAGTTTACACCATCTTAGAAGCGTCAATCAAATCTGAAGCTGTGAAATGGTACAATATTTTAAAGTGCATCGTTGATGTTGTACTTTTCTTGGGAGAACATGGTCTGGCATTTACTGGTTCATCCCATCGAATTAGTGATTCAAACAATGGAAACTTCTTAGGACTCATTGAACTGCTCTCCAGGTGGGACCCCATCCTTCAGGAACATGTGTTAAGTGTAGAGGAGTCACAGAAAAGGAGTGAGCGGCTTCAAGTTCATTATCTGACCCCTGATTTACAAAATGAATTTATTGCTGAATGCTCGAATCTTGTGAAATAACACATTTTGCTTGAGAGGCAGTCTGCAAAGTACTTTACAGTAATAGTAGATGCCACACCATGTCAGATTCCTCCCATACTGAACAAACAACATTTCTTTTGAGATATGTACTTTTAAAAGAAATGCAGTATGAGATTCAAGAAAGATTTCTCAAGTTTGCAGATTGTAGCAACAAAAGAAGAGAAGAAATTGCTCAGTTGATAACTGATACATTGAAAGAACATGTTATTCCTCTCAGTGATTGTAGAGCTCAAGCCTATGATAATGCGGCAAATATGGTGGGAAAATACAATGGCGCACAAGCAAAAATACAAGAATAATGCTCAACAGCAATTTTTTTCACCTTGCGGTTGTCACACACTCAACTTATGTGGACATGATGCTGCTGAATACACACCTGAAGCAATAAATTTTTTCTGAACAATTCAAACTGTGTACCACTCGTTCAGTTCCAGTCCCAAGCAATGGGAATTACTACAAAACCGTATTGGTTGTTCTCTTCATGGTATGTCTGAAACAAGATAGTCAGATCGTGTTGAATGTGTAAAGCCTTTTGCAGCTCACTTGCCTGGCATTAAATTAGCACTGGAAGACCTCCTAGAACTGAATTTGACAGCCAAAATAAGAAATGAAGTCCATGGAGTTTTATTATATGTGACATCTTTTGCATGTGTGTTAATGTCAGCTGTGTGGTACAAAATATTAGCTGGCATAGATAATTGCAACAAGGTCATCCAAGCCAGAGATGCCACACTGGATATTGAAGTAAGGAATGTAGAAACTCTCCTCACAGATACGACAAAACTTCGAAACAACTGGAAATGCATGTGGAATGAAGCCAAATTGGTTGCGTCAAACCTAAAGATAGAAATAGAACCCTCCCGTAGATGTGGTGGAGTTAGGCGTAAGAGGGCAAGGTCACATGATGACAACACACCTATGCTAACTTGGAGGAAATGAATGACACAGATGATACACCAGAAGAGGCCTACTTCAGAAAGTGTGTGTTTTACATTTTGGTAGACAATGTTATAGCAGGATTAACTGTCCGCTTCAATGCTGTTAAGCAGTTGGCTGAAAAATTTGATTTCTTGTGGAAATATCTCATTATGTCTGAAAGTGATGTGTAGAGAAAAGCTTTATCTTTATCAGAGCAATATCCTGCTGACCTTAACTGGTGATGATTTTGGAAAAGAAATGCAACATTTACCCTAAGTACATAAAGCAAAGTTTGGAAATGCACAGTTAAAGCCATTAGATCTGCTGAACGTGTTAACAGAGTATAGACTTGGTGACCTGTTTCCAAATGTTTGTGTTAGCTTAAGAATACTATTAACAATTCCAGCAACAGTAGCTTCTGCAGAGAGGTCATTTAGCAAACTCAAGCTGATTAAGAATTATTTAAGGTCTACCATGTCTCAGGAATGTCTTGTGGATTTGGCCAGGCTAAGTATTGAATCAAACATTGCCAGAACAATTAATTTTTATGCTGTGATTCAACATTTTTCACAAAAAAAGGCCAGGAAAGCTCTTTCTGTAAAGTAAATACTAAACCTATCTACCTTTTTTTTTTACTTTTTACTAATAATTATGTCTTCTGATCTGCACTGCAATATAAAAGGATGTTTCAATGTGAATTCTTTCTCCTTATCTGTATTGTAGAATAAACAAAGATGTTCAAATGTGCTTTATTCTCTCTAATCCTCTTTTATTTTATTTATATTTATCATGGAGTGAGTATAGGAGCATAAGGCCTCTAATGCAGAAAATCAACAGAGCACCCCTCTCTCATCTTGCATACCCTTTTTGGCCTTACAGCTCATGGCATAAAACACAGTCACATCACTAACACTGCTAGAAGGAAAATTATGCACTTACTCAGACTCACAATATGACAATCATAAACGGCAATTCCCTAACACACACATATATTTCAATGGCACACAAAGCATAATTGATCTAGGTCTTTCCAAATGAAAACTAGCCACAGGTCCTGCCCACCCAACAACAACAACAACATCCTAAATTGGAGAAAAATAAACTGAATAAAATTTAACGAAAAATTACCAGAACCTAAAAATTATGGTAATCTCCAAAGATGAATTAAAACAATACTATAATGATATTACTTCCGCAATTACTAAAACTGTTAATAAAACCATACCATATAAAACTCAGAAATCTACACTAATCTCTTGGACTGTAACCCCTGAAATACACAATTTAATATTAACCCGATGCCAACTCCATAGAGAATTCATAGCAACCACAAATCCTGCTTTGAAACCATTAAGTAATCAAGCCAAAAACTAGACTGAAAAACTAATCAAAATACAGCAAAAGTACAACTGAAATAACTTCTATAATAGTCTGGATGCACTCAAACCTGAACCTGCCCTATTCTGGAAAACATTCAAAAGCATATGCCTTAAAATATGCCTTTGGTACAATAAACTGCGAAACATGACTGCCACAACAGACAAACAGAAAGCCAATTTATTCTCCCAATACTTTTCTAGCACATTTGTAACACCTCACTCTGACAAACTTAATAATAACCATAACACAAAACAAATCAACGATTTCATTAAGGGCAATCAAGAGTTCTTTTAAACTACCTTCCTAGTAAATATTGCTATCACAACTAATCACCTATCCATAACAAACACCCATAACCACTCCCAAAATAAAAATACACCTATATAAATTGAAAAACACTGCACTAGATGACGATAAAATTTCCAACATCACATATAAACATGCCTCATCCTAACTCTTAGAACATCTAAGAAACACACTTAACCTCTCACTCTTTTTGGGTTACATACCACAAATTTGTAAGTCAGCTGTGATTACTGTAATCCCAAAAAAAGGCAAAAACTCTAAAAACCCTGGTGATTTTTGACCAATCAGTTTAATTAATTGCACAGGTAAATTACTAGAAAAGAATAATAACAACTAGACTGTTGTAGTTCTTAGAATCCAACAATTTACTATCTAATATCCAAAATGCTTGAAGGGATGTGACAGGTTTTGGAGGGTTGTTAACAAATATCGTGTAGAGAAGGGGACTTAGAACTGAATCTTGTGGTACTACTGCATTGAAAGTGAAAGGATGTGAAACTACATTTTTGGTTTTGAATTTAGCTGTTTTATTTTCTAAGAAGTTTGCAATGTATTTCGTTAAGAGGATGAGTATTTTTGCTTTAATGAGTTTATATTTAAAACCATTGTGTCACACTGTATCGAAAGCTTTTTGAACATAAGGAAAGTAACTACTGTGGCTTGTAATTTATTACATCCTTTGAAGGTTGATTCTATAAATCATATGAGATGGTCAGTGGTTTATCTGTGTTTCCTTACACATGCATCTCAATATGCAGATGACCATCACGGCTTGGAGTACTTCCAGAGACCAGATGTTCGGATATGTAAAATTACAAAAATTTCTGAAAAAATTACTTCCTGGTGCACAGTTGGATAATTCTCCTTAACTAATCTAAGATGCAATCAATTATTTTTCCTAGAAGTTTAAGAAAAAAGTCCAAAAAGATTAACAATGTAAAATTCTCTCTCTACAGCTCTTCCATCACCTCCTCCAAAACTGTAAAAGTTTTAGGTGTCACATTAAATCACAATCTCACCAGGCATTCTCATATCAAAGAAATTTCTAAAAAACTCTACACCAGAGTAGCATATATTAAGAAAATCGACCAATACATACAAAGATGTAAGACGTCAACAATATTTTACATATATAAAACTTTTATTAGAATATGCCTGTATGGTAACATGAAACATAAAAAAGCAACAGCTCACACCACTACACAAATTACAAAATTAAGTTACATGGTTAGCCTACCATTCCCCTATTTATACACCCGCTTATTATGTAAAAAAAACATGCTGAACTGCCTTCCATTAAAACCAAATAAATTAACCTTGCAAATAAATATTACAAGAAAGCCCACAATGCAACTCACTCACATCTCTCTTTACTAATATCACCACATCCTCCATGCCATGGAGAAAGTATCTATGTTTATATAACTTTATCCATGGAGATAATACTTCACCCTGACTGTAACAATTACTTGTTCATAAGTATATAATCATTGTCCAGGTTCTACACAAAGTGCTTCATAATGCTTTCACTAGAGCATTTTCAGGGCTTAAATTCAGCTCTGTCCAGTGAAAGTAGATTTTCATGAGGTACTCCCATTTCCCCCCTACACCTAATTTCAAGGCATTGGATCTGTAGATCCCTGCCATGTCCAAGTCCTGCTAAGGCCGTTTGTCACTGCTTTGTCAATGACTTCTCTCCTTTTCAGTTCTTGGATTCACTTGTCATCGGGATTTGCCTTGCCTTCACCTTGCCATTTCCACGACTTTCTCTCTCTTCAAAACACCCATGCAGCATAATATAATTTAACAGTCCACCATAATATCTCAAAATTCTCCCACTATGTGAAAGACATCTGTTCCTCGAACGGGGCGATGGAGAATTAGATAAGATAATTCCCGAGCACCCTGGATGACTAATGGTTTGAGATGTTTCTCAACTCAACTATTTTTTGTCCAAATACCTGTCTAGTATTGGATTGGATTAAGAAAGTTATTGTGTGTTAAGAGGTATGTGTTGTATCGGAAGTAAATATACTTTACTAATCATTTTGTACAACAAAATTTAAAACTTAAAGTTTGCAAAAAAATCTGACATTAGGTCATAGAATAATATTAAAAGTTTAATTATTGATAGTATTAAGTACAGTAAAGTTTAGTCATAACTAAAGTAAAAAATGTACACAGGTTATAGTGTTAATTTATCTATTTATTGAACTTAGGCCTAACATTAGTTAAGGTTTTATAAAGTACAGCCTAAATACAAGTGGAACTTACACATTTTGTTTTCTATGATTATATTACGTTTGTATTATTCTAGAAATCTTGTATTTAAAGAAGTACTGTTGCAATAAAGATTTTGCAGGTCTCTGCTAGTACTTAATACTATAAATAAATAAACTTATAATGTTATTCTAAAACCTAACGTTAGACCTTTGTAAAAACTTTTAAAGTATATTTACAACCATCTTTTGTTTACATCTGTTGAAATGAAGTGTGCACACATGCACACTTAGATAGTAAGATGCATGTGCATATTCAGGACAGACAAGAACTAAATATTATTATAAAAGATTGGGCATATCATAAAGCAAATGAAATGTGAAGAAAGCAAACTATTTTCATATTTACAATCTACAAACTAAGAGGAATTCGTTATACACTTTATGACACCATTCTTTAAATATATTGGGAAAATGTAACAGTCTATAGAGACAATAGGTGCTTGGTACCATATATAGATTATTCCAACTAAAACATCTTGTCATTATTCTAATCTTCTGACAAATGGACACCTCTATATTAGGGTGAGTTTTGAGATAATATTTAGAAGAACCTGCTGAGATAGAAGTCACCAATCTCTGGAAGAATGGTGCTAGATGAACTTGCCATCTTTATTGCAAAAAGGAAGGGAAAGTAGCAGCATGAAGAATTAAACAGTATAGTGTTGAAGCACCACAGGAAGAAAAAGTGTTGATGTCCTTAGTTAACTTATACAGTGAAACTAGGTTTAACAAACACATCATCATTGTGGCAGACTGTTTAAGAATTAGCTAAAAGATATGCTATACCAAACCAATTAGAGAAACATTACCTTAAAGATCAGTAATAAGTTTATTATGATTATGCAAGGAATTGCTGAATCAGCTAGACATGTACCTGAAGACTTGACTGAAGATGTAGGTTGTTTGATTGGTTGCTTTGGGGCTTTATGGCATAAAGCACCAAACAAGCATTAAAAATGCAAAAAACTGAAGATATAGAACCAAAGACTGCTCCATTCTGCTGATGAGTCATAAAAGTGGAATACATGAAACTGAAGAATACACTTCAGCATTTCTCCTGTTTCATCAAGAACCAAAAATGCTCTAGGAGATCTTTATGGAAGATATGAACAAACCTTCATAAAATATGATATTTTACTTGATAACTTCATTCCAACTAACATAGAAAATCTTCAGTCTGTATTAGCTCAATAAATTGGAGGACAGAAACTAACAAAATTTGGAAAAAAAAGAAAGATACTCAAAGTTTGAGTTTAAACACGAGAGATACTTTTTGTTATACAAGTTCCCAGTACTATTATTTAGTTAATACTATTAAATAACCACATGTTTATTACTTAAATCTTTACTTGACATGCAAATACCTGAAGGTACAAATAACATTATTCTGACTTCAGAAATAATAATAGTTGGAAATACAGTTATCAAAGTCTAAGAATAATGAAGTACAAAACAACTTTTACTGATAATGTATGACTAGTACTACTAGTATGAAAAATTCATACAAAACAATAAGTTATTTACAAGTAATTTTTTTCCTGAATTTTTTTTTATCATACTCACTCAAATGATACTTAGTATTTTCCAATTTCTAGACAATTACAAAATTAAGTAAAATATTAGCCCTGATTCAAAAGTTACATTTAATATTTTCCCAATTAAAAAAAAAGTTTGATAAAAAGATTTAATAATATTTGGAAGTTGAGGAAATAGAGAAATAAAAAAGAATTTTATATAAAAAAACAGTACTTTACCACATAATCAATCAGGCTTGAAAATGCTGTTCGTAATTTATGTTGAATTTTTTCAATCTGTGGGGATCTGGAATCCTTTTTCAAATTGCTACGTAGTTGTTTAATAAATAATTAAGGATATTTTGTCACTTCTATCAGTATATCTGCTGTTAACGACAATTACAAATTGAGTTGTTCAAGCCATAATTATGTTCCACATAATACTTTAAAATTAACAAGTTTCCTTCATAGGCCTTCACAAAATTTCAGATATTCTGTAACACATTATTGAAGATCCAAAATTGACTGGAAATGATAAATAAATTATTTCAAATTGGCAAGTTTTTGTTGACTTTTCTTGTGACAGCAGTTGTAAAAATTTTAGAGAAGAAATGAAGTCCTGTTTGTCCTCCTGGAACATAACTTATTGTATACCTAAAAGAGAGACAAAAAAAACAATGATACAACATTACATTACAATGAAGTAAAACAATGGACATAAATTTTGATTACATTTGTTTATAATTACTAGATATTATTAAAAAAATTCAAACTTATGTTTAATCTAAACACATTAAATTTATTTACTGTACTAGTATCTTAAGTTAAATTCATAATTTACACTAACACTTAAATACTAGCAATCATACAATCATCACTCTTGATCTTTTTCTTAAAACAACCTGTAGAGTTAATAAGAACAATGGCTCCAAATCCCTCGGAGCTAACTACAACAAATTATGGAAGGGAAATAGTGGGTGACAAATCTAAATGACAAAAATATTTTCACATTCTTCCTAGTTCAATCAAACCAAATGAAAAATAATGTATTTCTTGCATTGATAAAAAAAAAAGCAGCCAAAGTGTTCATGAATAAATGGGGAATTATGTTAGTCATAAATTAAAGAATAGTTAAGTAAGTTTATCAAATAAAGAAAAATAAGTCCAGAAAAAATATTGATCTTTTAGCCCAAAGCCTCAAATTTTACTTAAAGAATTTTAATGCTTATGTTAACTAAACAATGGGAGTCAATATTTAAAAGGAAATACTATTATGGAGGAAAATAATGTAGCTGAAATGCTAGAAAATTATATACTAAATGGTTTATTTAAAGTGGTAAGGGTTCTTCTTTAAGTTTTACATCTGGTGAATAGAAAATTAAACTTTAGAAAAGCTTAGTGAACTTCATAAGAGAAAATAGTTGCAAGGCGTTGGTGAGCATTAAAATTTCTCATTTTTGTGACATTAAAGAAATTTCTGATTATTGGAAGATTGCTAATATAATCCTTCTCTTTGAAAAAGAATGAATGAGGGAGAAGTTAGGTATGCTTAAGTCTATTAGTTTCATTTCTTTTACTAGTAAAGTATTTAAATTTATCAGAAATAATTTAGAAAAGGGTTTTTGTACCTTGTCAACAAAATAGTTTTAATTTTATAAGGCTTTAATTATTTGAATGAAAACATTAGAGGATCACATATATCATAAAAAGTCTGATAAAATTAATTCAATGAATCATTATGCTTTGGACAGGTAATCCCATTTTCTTCTTTACCACTGACACCCTAGTTAATGTTTAACTTTCAGAAAGCTTTTAATAAAAATCCACATTAACTGAAAAGTTGGATGTTTATGAAACTAGTGGAAAATAATAAAAGTGAATAGAAGATTTGCTTAGAGGTAATAAATGGGTTTCTATCAAATTGAGAGAATGATAATAGTGAGCTCTCTTGACGGTCTTTTTTGGGACCATTGTTGTGCACTTTTATTTGAACAATTTAGAAATCTTCTCTGACAGTAACATTTATAAATTTTTTGATGAAACTTAATTGCTGGCATGAGTGGTTTGTTAACAATGGTAGAATGAAATTATTGGAAATAAAAACTTGAAACAGCCTTCTATCATGTGGTTTAATATTATTTTTCTTAACACCTAAATGATACATTTATGAATGTACTGCACATATTTTCCTTGAGAATTAAAAATATACAAATGAAACCTGGCTAACATAACATTAACATATTTACTCTGTAAACCTAGCTGGTAATATATTGTTGAAAAAAAAAAACAAGTTTTAGAGTGTTATTAACAACTATTACTCATGAAAAACTTACACATCAAATATATATAGTATGCATACAAACATTCTTAGACTGTTCAGTTCTGAATGATAGAAAAATATACATATATACATATACTTTATTTACAATTTTCAGAGTTATAACTAATTATCATTGGTATAAAAGACATATATATATATATAAACATACATACATATACCTTAAACTGTTCAGAGTTATGATTAATACAAAAGATGTATATTCTGCTAGGAAATAGCATAAAAGCTATTCTGTAAAAGAGCTTCACAAGCTAAATAAATAAATATAAATAAAGGTACCAGATCAATGATACAACTTGGCATATTGCACAAACTGCTGTTGGGATGGTGCTCCTAGCCTGTAAGAAAAAAAAAAGGCAGAAAAAATATTAATCAGTAAACATAAACTACTTTTAAATGATTCTCCAAGCCTTGATAAAATAATAATCTCATCCAGTAACACGTACTATTATTGGAATGAGCTTCTAGCTTAAACAAGAAGAAGAAAAAAAAAGGGACAAAAAAATCTTGATCAATAAACACAAACTAGAGTAGAATTGGTATTTCTAGCCTGGAGTAAAAGTGACAAAAACAATCTCAATCAGTAAATACAATTTGACAATTAAATGTGCTTCTAGCCTGAAGACAATCTCAACCAGTAAACACAAGGTTTGGTATGTCACATAGTTTTATTTTTATGAAGTCTCATGAAAATACATGAATAAAATATAAGGTAGCAAACATAAAAAATAAAAAAAAAACTGAATTAAGTGTCCTAACTTAGATTTTGGCTTTCTCTATAAATGTATCTTTTAGTTAATACATCTGTTAAAAATGAAAACAACATGGAAATGCATTGCAGGGAATTCCACACAATATTGGAATTGAGAAAAAATCTCAAACTTTAAGAGTTGAAGGGATTCTGCAGTTCAGATAAGGGCTTACTATAGTAGGGCTGTAATGAGGTTAGATGTTGACCTTCAAATGTTCAGAACACTTTACCCAATGAAGGTTTGAACCTTCAGTAGTACTAATTTGCACAATTTACTGATTACATTACCATAACTACTAGTTTATATTTGATTGAAACCCCTTTTATTTCACCAAAAACTCCATGTAAATAGTATATAAAACAGTAACAATATTCTATAATTTAAATTTTAAAAAATGCATGTTGTATATGTAAACATATTTGATACAATGTGCAATAGTCATATAAAAATACACAGAAAGCTTGCATTGCAAAAGCATTTTATTGTGGTCAATTGAAATAATTGCAGCTGACCTGAGCAAAACAAATCTTTAATTAACAGTCACTATTCCAAGCAGGTATTTTTAATATAAAATTATTGATTACTTAAACACTTAAATTATTAGTATTAGTATTTATTTTATATTTCATACTTAATCTACCATAACACTTCTCTTCCATTCTGTACACTAGGCATTCAGTGCATTTCATTGAAGCAATGCAGCCGCTAACGTAACTCTCCTGTTCTTTAAGTTAAATTTTTTTTACCTCCTTTGTTCATTGTGCTTAATTTACTGTAGTTTATCACTGTAATATACCTTGAATGGGCTTGACAAAAAAAATAAACATAAAGATGCATATTGCTTGTCTACTGTTTTGAAATGGTTAACATGTACTAATGTATAGGGCTTTGTCTGGTGGTTCAAACGTTCATTTGCTAACCAGAAATTCCAAAATAGTTCCAAACATTTGAAAGTTCATCAGGTGGTATTCAAACAGTGTCAGTTTTTTAATTCTATTAACGGAAACCATTTGACAATGTTTGAATAGTAATCACACACTAAATGTCACTCATATGGAAAGTTGAATCTATTGATTTGTATAATGTCCATAATTTAAACAAAAGCTCTTGTATTAAAGAAAATCACATACATCACCAAAACATTATATGTAGCAGCTACTTCTGTGCATGATAAAAGTGAAATAACACTGAAAGGCTCTTAAGTAGAGTTACGTTTTAATAAACTTACTTATCAAATTCTGCCTATAAGATAGTGACAGAAAATAAAGCTATGCCACAGGTATCGAAACACAATTTTTAGCATTATAAGCCCCCAGACGTATATAAATGCCTACCAGGTTAGGCATAATTTATAAATCAAATAGGTTTTATTGGTTTCTATAATTTCTATGCATTATAATGTTTCTGTTAGTAGATTGATCAGCAATTGTTATTTAGAATTAACAAATTGTTTTCAATTAAAAAAGGTAAACTTAGTGATTTATTTGCCTATATGCAGATTATTCTTCAAAAAACTCCAGATATTAAAAAAATTAAACTGTACAAGAGCATAAGATTCTTACAGATGACAATTTTTCAACAACTGGTTTATTTTGTTCTTAATACACATTCCTTAGCTACCTCCATAACAGTTTCTTTTACAGTCTTGACAAGGAGCCTGTTAAATAAACATACTATTTTTTATTTATTTTTTCTATGAAATTAAGGTTTAACAGAATGAAGATATCAATTCCTTCACACATAAATGAAGAAATGCTAATAAGAACAGATGATTAATGAAACTACAGTTTTCAGCTCATCGTAATTAGGAATTGTTTAATTCATGTTAGTCCAAATTAATCAAAAAAGTAACAAATCCTGAAAATTCTTACAAAATCATAAATATAAAGATAAAAATACATAAAATCACTGACATAAATACTCTTATAAAATCCTAATCTCACAGTCAAATCTTACAAAAAATAAAAAAGTCAGACTTGCAACATTACACAGGCCTATACAAGCTTTAAAAGATTAAAGTGTCCAATGATGAAAAACAACTTTTAACTTTGAATTTTAAAAACTGTTTAAAGAACCACTAAATTAATTAATAATCTTTTGCTTCTTTCTTTACAATTACAAGTATACAACAATGTAACTGACTGCTATATGTAACAGGAATTAGAATTAAAAAGAAACTATGACTCTCTTAAGGTAGCCAAATGACTCGTCATCTAATTAGTGATGCGCATGAATGAATTAACGAGATTCCCACTGTCCCGATCTACTATCTAGTAATACCACAACCAAGGGAAAGGGCTTGGAGAAATCCAAAAACTATTTGGATTTCAATACAATTTCAATTGTATACAAGTATACAACAATGTAACGGACTGCTATATGTAACAGGAATTAGATTTAAAAAGAAATTCCAATAATGATGTTTATCTAAAGTCTCAAGTTATCAGTTTGAAAAAACTTTTCACACTTAACACATTTTGAAAAAATACATAATAAATTTTTGAGTACAAAGTAGAAGAAATTATAAACAATAGAATCATTTAAATGAAAATAATCTAGCTAAACAGAAGGATGTATTATTTAGTGTGTATTGAACATAAGTAACAGTAGAAACTTCTAGATTTAGAGAAAACATGTTTTCCAACTTTCCTTTAAATTATTTAATTTTTGTTTGTTTGTTGTTAAGCACAAAGCAGAGTTTTTAGCATTGTAAGTCTTCAGATTTATCATTGAGCCACTCAGAATTAAATTGTTTAATTTAATCAGAATATATCTCATGAAAAAATAATGCTATTTACTGAATTTAAAAGTACAAGCAATAGTTTATTTCATCAACTCAATTTCAATTAATACTTCAAACATGCAATTAAATCAAAAGAAACAAATTATGCACAAAAAATCCTTTCCAAACTTCTTTGAACATTCAATAAGTTAACATTTTCCTACACTGAAAATGTATTTTTGATACCCACCTTCTAATTAAATTTATAAGTATGCTGTCTTCCCTTTAGATATTAAATACAATATAACTGTTTTCTTTAAAAAACTATAATATATATATATATATATATACTTAAGTGCAAAAAATATTAATATAAACTCACCCATAAGGCAAAGTAAAGGGTGGCAAACATAGTACCAAAATAAATACTTGTAAATGGCAATCTTTCCCTGGAACACAGATGCTTGGCATGAGTAACTGGACCCCATAGTAATGAAAAGCTAAGACATATCCAGAATATATATAAATATTTATAACTTTAAATAAGCAAACTAAGTACACAATCAGACTAATATAAAAACATAAAGATAAAAAAATCAACTATTTCATGTATGTGAAATCTTTTTACAGAAAAATGTAAAAAGCTACACAAATATTTCAAGAAGCATATTTAAAGAAGTTATTTTATCCAAAACTTCAAATCTTCATTAATACACACACATATATATATATATATCATATTTATAAATTTTAAAACAATTTTAGTTTAGTGATTAAACACCTTAAAGTATGTATAAAGTATATATGTTATGCCCCTGATTTACTTTTCAGAAATATTTCTGCAAAGCTACACAAGGACTATCAGCAAATAAATGTTCCTAATTTTAACCAATAGACAATAGGAAGGCAGCTAAGCAACAGCACAGCATCAACTCTTGGGCTACTCTTGTCTGATGTACAGTGGGATTTAATTATCACTTATGGTACAACAACAGTCCCAAAATGAGGAACAAAGTTTTTTCATATCTACCTAAATAAAATACCTAAGGTAAGACAGCTGTTAGTTGTTTATGTGTCTAAAAAGATGTGAAGGTGTATAATAGTTTCTCATTATTAATATCTAATGTAAATGTATTTATATACACCCTCATGTACAAAAGAAAAAATATTACTACTTAAGTGGGATAAATACAAAATATACTGAAAATACTGGTAACCAATTCTATCTATTTCATTCCAATATCAATATTAAAAATGAAGTTGAACCACACTTACAACCTACATAAATACAAACATTAACAGCAATCAGATAGAAATCTATACATACCTGCAGATAATAAATAAGCTTCCAAGACTATACAAGAGAGCAAATTTTCTTGATTTCAACAACAGAAATGGAACATAAAATCCAGCCTATATGACACAAAATTAGGTTTAGCAAGATACATACAGTTAAAATATAAATTTTAAAGTACAATTTAACTCACTCACTCTCTCACACACATGCACACATATATATATATCAATGGATCAAAGAATGATGTGAAACAGGAAATCTTTGTGATAATTCTAAACTATCTGATTAAAAAAAATTAAACTATCATGCACTTTAGAATCTGAATATTTTACAGTTAGGTTCAGAGTTCATTTCTTCCAAAACACTTTTTTTTGCATATACACCATTCGTTAAACTATTAAAATGGTCAATGAATATAATTCTACTGAATTATGAAAAATAATTCCTTCCTCCTTGAATTTTTTCTGATGAAAATATACAAAATTAGCAATGGAATATTCAATCAATAATTCATTATTCCTGATAATAATTTTCTCATAAAAACATTAATAACAAAATATTTAATATAAAACTACAAAAGTTTCTTAAATGTACACAAAACTGTAGATGATTGTGTAAAAAAAATACTTTTTACAGTAATATATACACATTATTTAAAGAAGCTGCATATATATTTACTGTTCTGTCTAGTTATTCATCTTTCACAAACATTTTCAATCAGAATCAGACACAAATACTACCCACATCACTTGTAATACTGATGAATAGCTGTTAATCCATATTCATTCTCCACAAAAACCCATAAGTCTTTAATAACATCCAAATTAATGAAAAATACAATAAACAATTGTCATTTGGGTCTCATTTAGCTTTTTCAAAGACTCAGAAGAAATGGTTAAATGCTACATTGGTGACCAAATGGTCTTTTCTCACATACAGTTAATTCTTATTAAACACTTGACTTGTTTAAAGCTTCAATAGAATCTAAAATTTGCTAATGATAATTTATATAAGATTGTGGTAATGCTGATAACAGTGCAACCAAATGGTGATTAAAGTTTACTTACCAATGTGAAACAAAAAAAGCCAATTAAAATACATCCCACAAATCCAACTATTCGCTGTCCTTTACTCTACAAAATTATAAATGAATATAAACATTTTACTATACACTTCATTCAAAAGGTTACAGTGAAGGAGTTTAAAAACAAGTTTTGATATTTTATATATACTGTTTGGTCTTATATATCTTCACACGTACTGTAAATCATGAAATATATGTACAAGTGCAATACCAAATCCAGCCTGATTTTGAGACCGTTACATACAATTCACAAGTATAATTAACAATGCAGAACTATTTTAATAAAATTATCTGGCATGGTCTCATTAAAAAGAAAACCTGCATTTGGCCTTAAAGTGCCTGGTAGAAAAAAACTATTTTCAAAGTTCAAATTAACTTCCACATTTTAGAAATAAACATTACTTTTGGTAAAAAATCTAAACATTTAACAATATTCAAGGGCAACTCATTTATAAAGAAAATACACTTTGTTAAATATTTTGATTAAAAAACTACCAATTAAAATACTGATTCTGTAAAGCAAACATGTTTTTTTTCTGAAAAATTATTTAAAAAAATATTGCAAATATAGGTTGAAATTATCCATTACCTGCACAAATCATATAGTTGAAAACTCAGTTTGGCTTTAAAAATAAAAATCATAGTTTATGGAATAAGAGTACAAAGAGCTCTCCAACTGAGGGTTCTGACCAAGATATCTTTCATATACTCAGAAGAAATATTAACAGCCAATCATACAGTGAAATTACAGGTGTCTTGATACTGTGGTTTTAAGTCCCTTGAATACGTAAAATGAGAGTGATCATTAACATAGGTAACACAGGACTGTCGGATATCATGCTTGGATCTTGATCTGATGTATATGTAACAGTGAGGTATAAGCATACTTTCTGAACTTTCCCTCTCCTGTATATATGTAAGAAATCCTTTTTTTTTTTCTCTAGTACTCAGAAGTCTATACAATGAATATTGAAGCCAATCAGTACAGGTAAAGCCTCAGCAGTACTTTATTTGCTGTATGAATAAAGACTGTTTACTTTATACACACTTATTTGTTGTTGTTTTTTCATTTTATTAGTATCCATGTTCATTTTACTCTTTGCATAACATTTCTAGAATCTTCTATATTGGAGATACTTCATATGTTTTTTCTGTTATTGAGAAAACAGGAGGAGTTTACACAAGTGGATTATGCAAAACGACCAAAATAAGAAGAAAGTCCAAACCAGTAGCAGATAAAAGTATCCTACAGAGTTGAATCACTGGCCATTGATGAAGAAAAAAGGTGATATTTTTACAACATACTGAAAAGTACATAAGGGGCAGACTCATCGCCAGTCATTTTTGTGCCCTGAGCAAGCTTCACAAACTGCACTCCCCCCTTTCAGTACTGACTGGAGGATGGAAACCATTTTCAATGAAAGTGACAAATAACTTTGGATAAATGTTTAATTGTTCTACCCGATGTTTTGGCTTATGCCTTTTTCAAGAGTCTATGAAATTTTTAAATTATAGTAACCAAAAAGAATATAAAACTACTATATATTCTTTTTGGTTACTATCATTTAAAATCTGTGACATTCATAGACCCTTCATAAGCCAAAACTTCAAGTAGAATAAATAAACATTTACCTGAAGTTCTTTGTCATCTTCATTGAAAGTCTATAGATTATCCATGAGGATTAGAAGAACAAAAGCTTCTGATGTTTTTGTACTAAATTCTGAAGATTAAGACTTGAAAAAAAAGACTATGCTCCTGTTAAGACAGTTTTGGTTTCCTAACAGTTTGGTTAGTTTATGGAATAAGTTGTTGTTAGCACTAGAGAAGACTGATACCTTATGTGAATTTAAAAGTCAAATATGTTTTTCTGAAAAATATAGTGTGGGTGTAATTCTTACTTTTCTTTTTCTTGTGTGTGTGTGCAGGGACAGTGTTAAAGGACTAAATGGTCTCTGATATTTGTATATCATGAATAAGCACATGTTGGATAGCATTTAATTATGGTAAGTTTCAGGATGGCTGTTAAGGCACAAAATTCTCAGGAGCACCAAGTATGCAGGGAATCCAGTGTGAGTAGGAGCACAGCCTTAATTTCTACCTAGAATGGCAGTCAAGCTATGATGGTCCTGGTAAAGTTATGTGTATAGGTTATTATATGATAACTTACACATATAATTTGGGTAGGAATACTCTTTAATTATGTGGATAAGTAAAAGAATTTTGGGGTATTATTTGATACAACTCTTAAGCCTTTGAGCCAGTGTTCTGTTGCAAAATAAAGTTAAAAGAATTCTGAGTTGTCGAAAAAGGAATGTTGGTTACAACTTATAAGTCTGAGGAGGTCATGGTTTCATTGTACAAGTCACTATGTAGACCTCATTTGAAGTACTATGGACAGTCTAGGTTCTTTTACCTTAGGAAAAACTGTGTGTTGGGAGAATGTTCAGAGGAGGGCTAATAGGATAATTCTGAGAATGGATGAATTGTCTTCTGGGTTGAGATTCTTCTTCTATTTTGAAAAGAGAAGTACCAAGGGAGAAGTACCTAGGAGAAGTACCTTTAATCATATTAAAGTTTTCAAAATTACTAAGTAAGTTTACAAGTTTGAAGCATAAAAATATGTGTTAGATTTTAAAGGCAGTAGAGCAAGACTCATAAATTCAACATCTAGATTGAAAGTCATGTACAACTCCAGCCAAGTTTTATTTCTCCAATGAAGTAGTAAATCTGTAGAACAAACTGCCATATATAGTAGTAGATAATGCAACTTTACAGGAGTTTAAGAAAAGAAGGGTGAATATTTTGGGGATCAAGACTAGATTTAATGGTTACTTTTCCATTTGTTAAGTGAGGCTGAAAGTTGACACATCCTGGATAGGACAAAAGGCCCCTTGATAATCTATACTTTATAATTCTCCTGGTCTAAACAAGATGCATTTTAAAACTTCAAAGAAGCATAGCAAAGACTTAATGGGGGTTTTGAGTGTTATGTTTCAGAAATTTCTTGAAATTGAGAAAATTCCCGATAGTTGAAATATTATCAATACGATCCTTGCTAAAAAAAAGTTGTGGAAAACAATAGGCCTACTTGTGTAATTTTTGCTGTTAGTTATTAGAATATATTGTGAGAAGTCATTTAGAAAAAACTTTGGAATTTTACATTACTACATAACAATTCTAAGCTTGGTTTTGGAAAAACTTTTTTCTTGGTTTATCAACTAGTTAGTTTCTCATTACAGTTGCTGCTTTTTTGAATGAGGGCACTGTATGGGTACTGTTCTGTTCAAACAGTTAATGTACTTTGAGATAACAAATAAATTGGTTGTTTATGGAAAAGTTGTGAAGGAGAAAGAAAATGGTTTAATAGAAAATGCACAATGGTAATAAATGTAGATTCTTCTAATTAGAAGAATATGACTAGTCAAGTGTCTCAAGGACTTTTGCTTTCATTATTCATGTCACCAACTTGTTAGCTTCTTGATTAGCAATATTTTTCAATGAAAATGTTCTTTTTATTGAAAAACAAAACACCATATCAGTATTGACAACTGAACCAAAATATGAAAAGAATCAGTTTTAATCTTGAGAATTTAAAGTTATGTGTTTGGGGTAAGGTAATGTGGTAAATTTTCCTTTCTGAGTGAAAGACACATCGGTGATGTGAACAAATAGAAACATTTAGGTGTGACTGTTAAAATAAACTATAAAGTCCTACACTGTTCAGCTGTGTTGAAAAAGAGGAATTATAGGAATTTTGAACTGCACATCAAATACAATACTTTTGTTAGGAGTATTATTTCTTGGCACCTGTGTATAATGTTAAAATAATAAATAACACACAATGTTAAAACAGATACACAATTAAAAACATTTTGATTAAAGCCATTCTATGACCACTAAAAAGTTGACTCTACATGTTTCAACGTTGCTAAGTCATCTTCAGGAGTGAGTTGCAAAGCACAATTGTGTCTTTATACTTCTTTTTTTGATAAATAGGACATGTGACCTATGTACAGGTTTACAATTCTAGCATGAACTTTTAGAGAAGGTCACCCCTACATTTTTTCATAAATATTCACCAGACCTTTATCTCTATTTAATAATGCATGATCTTTTTTATATTTAATTATTTCCAAGGGTTCACAAATATTATTGGCTATATTGTTTGTTTGTAGTTAAGCACAAAGCTATACAATAGGCTATCTGTGCTCTGCCCACCACGGGTATTGACACCCGATTTCTAGCATCTAGTCTGTAGATGTACTACTGTGCCACTGGGGGCTACTGGCTATAATTAGTTGGTTTTTTTTCCCCACAATACCATATGTTGTGTTTCAAGTACATGTTTTGCTATGGATGAATTTTCAATTTTTTTATTTCTTATGTATCCTTTATGGTCCATTAAATGATATTTTAAATTATGTTTAGTCTGGCCAATATAAATTTTTCTGCATTTACATTAAATTTTATAGATTCCTGTTTTTTTTTACTAACTCTATGTTATCTTTAGTATTACCTAAAATTTTCTTTATCTTATTAATTGGCTTAAATATAAGATAAAATTTTATTTATTGTTTTCTAAACATTTTAAATAATTATTAGATAGATCTGGAATACATAGCAAAATTAAAGATTTGTTTTTAATTTTTTCATAACTGGGTTTTCAAGTAATACTTTTATCAGTGAATTAGCAAATTTCTGGATACATTTCATTAATAATAATTAAATGTTTAAGTCATCTTGTTTAGTATGTATCTTCAAATTTCTGTGAATGTAAATGTAAAATGCTGATGTTTTTACAGTGTTACCTATTTTAACATTGTGTGTTATTTATTATTTTAAAGCTTATTAGGTTTCATTTAAAAGGTATAATGTAGTTTTGGTTCCTTTACCAAAGGAAATATATTAATATACTGGTAATTTGGATATTAACTAGGTTTAACAAGTTTAAGTTTTCATAATAAATCAGAATGTTAAAACACAGCTAGTATCTTGGCTCACACTAGTTTTAACTAAGCTAATAGGATTCAAGTCCCAAAAAGATAACTCCTCATCTTAGTTCTTATGCTGAGAAAGGTCGGTGTTACTATAGTGTGCAGTCTACAAAGATCATATCATCATCACCATTTTAATGATTCACTAAAACATAATTTCTTGCTAAATAATTTAAATCTTTCTATGTTTTTGTTCAGCAAATAATAATAATTTAATAAGTTTTGTGTTCCAAAAGAGTACCTTAAATTTAGGTTATAACTGTGCTATGTTTGATTGTTGTAATTTATTTCATTCCGATTATATTTGCCCCAAAAATGTTATGTAATGGTATTTTGTACTTTATTAGTTTAAAAGCATTATTTATATAATAAATGGAACCAATTGCAAATAAACGAAAGCTAAAATGGTGATGATGATAGTATCTGTGTAGACTGCACGCTATTGTAGCACTGAAACTTGAAAGACCTATAGTTCTGGAATTACATTATTTGAAGTATGCAGTAATATAAGTAATTTTATTCGAGTGTTCGAAATTGTTAGTGGTTTGGATAGGCTTCCTACTATACATATGGTTTGTATAAGTACTAGAATGAAAAGGTTGAAAATACAAATTTGTATAACAAAAGTAGGTTTCACCTTTGAAAACCCAAATGCTGACTTCAACAAAATTTTTAGCTTAAGTTATAAATCTGTTGAATAGTTTATCAGATGTCTTTTAACTGTTTGACTTAATTTGGTTTCAATATTTTAGTTAATTGGTCACTGTGAATTTTGTTTTATATTATCACTATTGCCACTTCAATAACATGCAAATGCTATCTAAATGCACAATTTTATTTTTGTAATTTACCCTGTAGAGATTTTATTATAAAAATAGATGTTAATATTTAAGCATGATACATATATAAAGCTTATTAAACAAAATACTTTTCAATTGGTTATTATACTTTAGAACTGCATATTTGATCTCTGATGACTAGGTCAAAAACTACAATGCTGTTCCCCTAAAACTTAAAAATTACATCATGCACTTCCAATGACAAAGGGCATTATTAAAAACCAGAAGAAATATCATATTTTAGATTAAACATTTGAAAAGCACCTTAATATTCTGGTAGTTGGGAAAATGTTAAATACATGCAAGTTATACCAGGATTACAAAAGATGACAAAAAGCCCTATCTGAGTGTATCACTGTCACTGTTAGATACGTTCTTGTAGTAGTACTGTTGTAGGAATAACTTTGAAGTTGCATAATGCCAACTTAGCAGATTATTAGTATTACTTATTTTGCTTTGCACCTGCAAATTCAAAATCCTTACTAGTCACATCTATACTGTAGTATTGTGTGCAGTTTATCAAGTTCAATGTTACTAACAGTTTGGCACTCCCACTCCTAGTAGTAGTAGGGCTGCTCAATACCATTTACCGAGTTAGAATTAAATCATAATGTTTGTATTAACTTTAAGTAACCTTGGTTATCATTTTATTTTAGGTCTAGTATAAGGTAGCATTATTTTCTCTTATAAGTTAGCAAAAACTAATCTTACTGAACACTTTTTCCAATATTAATAAACTTCAAACTTCTCACCAAACTAGGAAAACATGAATCCTTCTCAGATTGTGTAAACAATCTGTTTATGTCACTTGATTCTGAATCTTCAATGAGTACGTTAGTTTCTTCACTAACGTTAGACTTTGCTGGAAATATCCAACTTTTAAATGTGCTATTTTTTATGATGTCAATATAATCTGTCTTTGTTTTGGAATGATCTGTATCTGAACGTGCTAAATAGTTTCTCATATCTTCCCTCAAATCTGTCATTGTTCTAGTAATAATAATAATAGTAGAGGTTTAACACCAGTAACGCTTCTTTAACTGGCCAGAAG